ACTCTCACATATACAATGGTAACGGGGGAAAAACAAAAATAATCATTTTCATTAATTGATTTCTGAAAATTTGGGCGAGGTCTAACTTTCCCTTTGAGGGAACGTTGAGTAATTAAAAACACAGACGTGTTTTTTTTTGTATCCGTGTTGGGTCGAGGGACAGGTGAAATGAGATCTGCCCGCATCTAACTTTCTTCTATCAACACCAACTAAGACCTGTCAGGTAATTTTTTTGGAAGTCGATCACTATATTGGGGCTGTCAATTTCAAAGTCGTTGCACCAATCTTACATTAGAGGGCATTGCTCTGCGTGTCCATCTTGTATGATCGGCGGCGATTTTGTGACGACGGCAGTGTTCCTCTTCTCAGTACAAAATGTTGCCTGTGATTCCAAATCAAAATAGCCAACGAGCAGATATGCCTTAGTCGGTTGTTATGTTGGGATATCTCTCTGTTGTCTGTTGTAGATGACACAAGTTTCTGCAGTTGGCCACACCAAGGTAGACACCGCACCCACCCCCTATCAAGGCACTGAGTCAGACGTCAGTGTTGTTTCAGAGTGCAATGAACTTATCACTCAATTGGTGAGAATGGCTAACGTGCTCAAGACGGTTTTTTGGGAAAACAATTGCCTCGATTGTTAACACTCTCCGCCTACGATAGTTGAAAGTGCGTTTAATTGTTACCAACGATAGAGCCGTACCCCGTATTTTGTTTAATGATGTTGGCTGATAAGTTAGAGAAAGAGTCATTGAATCGACCAATAAAATGGAATGGCATTTTTTTATGCTGGCTAACAGACAATTGTAAACTGAAATCAATTAAACCATTTTTTTCTGAGGAAAACGATATATAATGCTGTTCTGCAGTTGAACATAGCTCATGTAACTAACTGCACGCGACTTATATATCTGTGGCGACCCACTAGGAGATGGGCCGGCCAAATTAAAATCAATCGTAAACTTTATTACCATTATACGGATTGTGGAAACTCTTAGACCTCATTCCTTTGTCTTGTATTCTTGTATTTACTCCAATAATTACTGCTGTGCATATGGGCGCAATTGGGCCTGTGTTATTGCTACCGCCATAACTGCACGATAATTTTGCACGCGGCTGCTTTGATGATGCGTATTAAAAACAAGCCACATACTGTTTTTTATCGCTGCGACTCAAGGACCACTTTTTGCTTCTACATCCTATATTGCGCCTCGTGTGTGAGAAATGCTGTCAAAAATAGTACAATGCGGTGTAAGCCACGAATCACAAATATGCACGTAAAAACCCACTTTAAACGCAACATTTTACAACTTGTTATAATTACCAAATACGCCTTGGGAAGGGAGTGTGCGATTTGCCTCGTTTGTGGAATAGTTAAATAAAAGGTATCTATAGAACCCCGCTTTGCTATACAAAGCGCTATTAGAGTCACGTCTCCAAGTCAAGTCGGTGATTGACATCAGGGAAGGGGAATTAAAGTCCGTTTAATACTTATCTAACTGTTGTTCAACCGTGACTTCCCATGATGGAATCGACATCATTTCTGTCACTCAGATGTTAGCTTCACATACTACTTCGGCGGGCAGTTGTCGTAATCCAATGATTCACTGAGATTTTCGCATGGGAAACAGGGGAGATAATTGAGCCAACGTCTCGGACAGCTGTCTTCTTTCTCGCTTGGATGTCACATAAAATGTGTATTTTGCCACGGAATGAGAATCAATTTGTGAACAATTTCAGGTATCTGTTACACCAAAATGTTTGTTTTCAAACTCTAGTTTTGTAAGAGCTCTATCGTACATAGTATTGATCGAAAACGAGTATAATTACCCCACAGTGACAGCCAAGCGTTTTATTTGAAAACCACACATTGTGTGAAGACCGAAACCGCCGTTATAGAAAGCTGTCTGTCAAACTTTATAGCATTTTATTTTTATTTTAATGAGATTATCGATAAAGCGTTTCTTTAGATTTTAATTTTTTAATGAGGGGTTTATTGTCAGTGTTCGATTTAAAAACATTTAGGTGGTGAGTCGAATTACAAAGTAGACTAACACAGCTAAGTCTACTCGCTTAATTACAGTTGTGTATTCAGAGTCAAATCACGGCGTGCAACGCAACATGTTACGACGACAAAATATCCTCATTTTAACGTGTATATGCTTCGAGTGGATCTCTCTTCACAGTTAAAATTGTGTTCATTGTTTTATTAACGTTAAAATTAGGAATGAAATGAACGATTTGTTAAAAACTAATACACTATATAGAATATAACACATATTATAAACGATATGTCGCCTTTGACGCTTTATAAAAATAGTTGAATAATTTAACAATCCAGAGCTTTGCCAAGTGGGAGTTTTATATCTATCTATGCGTGTGATGGTGAAACGAATAAGATGAGAATTCGTTTGTTATTTCATTGGTAACTGTATCCCTACAACGGCAGTGTAATAAAACACTAATGACTTACGTTAACTGTGGTGCTTTTTGGAAAAGGAATTCCGATTCAATTAACGTGATATTACCCTTTCAATAGAAATCGCATTTTGTTAACTAATGGAAACATATTAACAAAAACATATTAACAAGACCAGAACAATTAGTAGGCGATAAGGAGCACGAGAGTGCGACACGAATTCCTTATCATGGCGGCGGTAACTATGATGAAGTGTGTGAGAAATGAACGAGTTTAGAGAGCGTTGTCAAAGGATATGCGCTCGAGTTTTTTACAGTTGATATTGTATTCGCAGGGTCACCGAAGTCACCGAGGTCACCATACAACTAGAAGTCTTATTATGGGAGCTAAAACGTCCACGATTGTGCCCAATATCTGTCATATCACAACATTTATTTCTGCTTTATTATGGAATGGAATATAACAGACGGTCATCTGGTATACTGATAATAAAGTACCAGACCAGCCCGGAGTATTGGGATACTTCTGGGCATAGTTGGAATCTATGAGACCAGTACTAAATGGGACTTGCTCTGGTCGGTATTTCTATAATGATAATTGTAATATTAGCAAAACGCTCTGATTACTATCTTGTACGGTTTGAGACAAGTATTAACGACTTTGCAACGCGGCTTACAATGGAACTAGAAACAATGCTCCCAATTTATCCTAAAGAACCACATGTAAATGATTATGCTAAACTAGTGCTACTGCAACAGAGAATAGAACACATCATATAAGTATCTTTATAAACACAAAGATGAACAAATGACTAGTGAATAGTTGGCACATTGTTGTAAGGGAGGAGGTAAGAACTAGAGCAACTGTACCACAGCCGCACAAATCGTGACCCGCAGTCGTAAACGGAGAAAAATGATGATTTGGGACAGACTATCGTAAATCCGATAACGCTACGCTGCTTATTAGATGAATCGTTCACATTGAAGTGATTAGGAGTGGATATGTAACATAGTCACGCGGTAGAGAACTAGTATCTGTGTGGATGAAACAATAACATAAATAAAGATTCGTCGACTGTTTTTGCACAACTGTTATGTTATTCCATGTTCTCTACTTCTAGCCAGTGCCACAGTGACATGACGTGTCAATTCGATAATACAACACTACTGTATGTTTAGTATGTCAATGTAATTTATTGTTCACTGTGATGAATAAGTTTATCATCATTCAGACAAAAAGTATCAGTTTATGCTACTATGTTTCAAATATCTACTTTTTGTCACACCCGTTGTAGAAACAGAATGTCGCACATAAACAAAATTAGTTTAACATAAAACACACATCAATCACAAAGCCATCTAGTGCATTCGAAATCAACCGAGGAAAAGGGCAAAGTTCTATAACACTATTCACACTGTGTTACGAAATAGAAAAAAAGGAACTGTTTATTTACGACGGGGCAACGGATGTAGAGCCATAGACAGTCTATGGCAGAACGGATATGTCGAATAACTGTATATTAAAAGTCACAGCACGTCACGACTATGCTGCACAGATCCAATCATGCATGAAAGCGTACACCTTTGTATCCGAGAAATGATACCCAGAGACGTCGACTCAATTAGCAAAACAATATTTACTTTTTACTCTTTTACATATGCCCTACTTCGTTCCTTTCTTTCCCAGGCGAGTTAAATGTAGCAATGTCCAACCTGGGAAAGCTGTATATTTACAAATGCACTTCGCCCGTTTTTGTCTACTTCCGAGTTATAAATGCTCCGAGCGACGCCGGGTCGCAATCACGTGTCTATATTTTAGCGTAACCATGTAACGACTCGACAGCTAGTTGACGTACGGCATGCTTCGCTCCGTGCTGTCCCGTACTTAAGCACATAACAAAGTGTGGCCTCTTCTCTCACTGCCTCCGTCGGAGTTTGAGTAAATCACAGATCCGAGTGAAACTGCAACTTCATTAAAACAAACAGGCCATGTGGTGTACAGATGTTGTAAGGGAGACTGAGTTCGGAGCACGTGACAGTGACGTCAGTCTCTGGGTACTGATGACAGACAACTGTTAGACAAAATGGCGATATGTCTTAATTTGTAAAAACCATGTCGAAAACGGAAACTGGAGCGCGGCTCTGGTCCTTAACATCTTACAAATTGATTGTGAAATGTTTGATTAAATTATGGCTGTGCCTTTCATGTATTTAAGAAACAAATAACTTTAATTTTATCAAAAATCTAGATAGTTGGTTTGTTTGATGGTACGGCGGTTTTACCTTCGATGTCAATGATAATGTCATATAATTGTATTTATGCCCCGATAACGTTATAAATATTGCCTGGTTATCCTGCTTTGTGTGGCATAGGTTTCATAAACAAAATAGTAATAGTAAAAAAAAAAAAAAAAAAAAAAAAACTTTCGGTTTCGAAAAATAATTAAATATGCCTACCAGCACTACAGTTTTGTGTTTAATTCTTTCGAATAATTAACTTGGACAATGTGTCTTCCTTATTTAGCAGTATACAAAAAAGTCAAGTTGTCAGTAGATACAGTGTACAATTTCAAACAAATGAGAAAATATCAAAAACTATATTTTTAAATTTGTCAACACATATTTCAGTACAGTCATTAAACAATTATAAAAATATTGCCATTAAAATATGACATTGTGGGCTGGACATCTCCCTGTGCATATTTATTGAATGACCTTGGCCTGTCTACAACAATATTTACAAAATTTGAGTATTAATTGTCAAGAGCATTGTTCTCTGAAGTGCACGCTTTGTCCCTTCCCTTGGTTGTATGTGATTTAAATATATTGCTGCATAAATGTGTTTTATACCTTATTTCGTTGAGAAAATAATAAATTCTAGAAAATAATATATATATATGTATTTTAACACTGATGCTCGATGGTGGAATTACTGCTGATGCATGTTATACACAGATTATGATTTGGAACAGCTGTGGTGATTTAATTTTTGTAGGGGGAGTAACCGATTTTGTTTGGTCCTGATGCCGTCCCAAAGTATTTCTTTTATATAAATGATGTCATCGTGCAACATACAAAGATTACACATTTCACCCACACGCTTCACGGGCTGCGTCACATGCGCTGTTCATCGTCAGGAGAGCTTGAGTCCGAAACCTATGGCGATGGCGTGTTCAAGACACGGAAACGAAAATCTCGCCCACCTTAAGGGAATTCAGCTACCATTAAAAAGGATTTCTCTTGTTTCAGGAAATCAGCTAATAAGTAGAGCAAATGAAAATGTTACGTTATTAACAAATTTTCACCAAATATATATAATTTATTCATCATTACAAAAAAATCATCATTGTAATAAATATAACATTGGCATTATTAAAAATATTACTATTTTCTAAACAAAAATACACCCGCTTTGGCAGTTATTATAGATAACCTTTTTCCAAATATATATAGGGATATTTATATTATTATTTTTCCAAAACAATAGTCTATAGTTGAGCTTAACTTATTAGAGAATTGTTGGAGCATCTCGGTTCTAGCAGGGGTTAATATACACTTGTCCATCTATTCACACCGAAACCAAATTAAGAAAATTCGATATTTATCTGAGACCAGACATCTGGGAATTGTTACTTGCCCTGTAGCCAAATCGATAAATCAGATTCCTACTATGCACCTATTCAGTCTAGGCAAATACAGGCGATTGGCAAACATTGGCAACGCACAAGTTTAAAGCTCTGCCGCAGATCTAATTACAAAGTATAAAGTTATATTTGCAAGTAAACATAGGATATAAATGAGTGTTTTTTTAAACTTTTTTTCTTCAATTCGCAGTTAGGATTTCACGTGTCGGGTGTCACATCATGTACTAAACTCGCCGCGGTCATTCCAGTGTTGAGTCAATTGTGTTATTACCAGGATTTTAGTAGAAAAGTATATTCCGTTGTATTTCCATAGTGAATAAGTCATTACGAGAGAGGGAAAAGCTTGGCGATTTGCATAATTTATCACACTCAACAGGTTATAACTGACTCCATATCTTGGTTTGATAACGGCGACATGTCGTAAACGACGCCATCATCTTCTGCAAGTCTCGACTGGTCGTACAAAAGTTTTTGCCTCAGCTTAATCTCCTGTGCTTCTTTGCCGCTCAGCATATCCATCATGAAACCAATGTAGACGATAGCTAATCGCAGGGTCTCTATACGAGACAATCGTCTCTCGTATGCAAATGTCGGTACTCTCTTACGCAACATGTCGAATGCTTCATTGATGTTGTACATTCGTCTCCTTTCTCGTATATTTGCAGCTTTTCGTTGAGCGGTGGTGATGACCCTGCGTCTTTTTGGTTTAGAACTTTGCGGTTGGTGATTGTGGTGATAATGATGATACTGTTGGGGTGCCATATCAATAAAAGCTGGTCTTGTCGACATAAATGTGGAAGTTGAGGGAATCATGTTTACATCAATAGGCATTCCCTGCATCGTTACATTCATAGATGTGTTGGATGGATGATTCGGAGCTGGCCATGTTGACAAAAGACCGGTGTCCATGGTATTTGCTCGACTGTAAGACTGGTAACATTCAGTCGTCGGAACATAACTGTACTGTACATCACTTACTATCTGTTGTTCGGTTGCATTATAGTTCATATTATTGGCATAATCTGGCACGACCGTGGAACTGAAATTAGTCAACGTTGTTAGTGGCTCACTCACCGACGACACCGGCGATGCACTATTATCATTGGTGTAAGGACTCTCGCAAGTTGTAGGATTATCTTGGTTACTGGCTGAAGGAGAATCCATCGTTGTATTTTTCTTACAAATTGAGTTTCACGAATTAAAAGTTATGTTAAACAAACACTGTAAATCAAAACCCTTTTTCAATACAATCGTTCTCAGTAAGTTGCGAATGAGCGTCGTCGAAGAACTGTTTCTCGTGGGCTAAGTGCACGCCGCTGTGACGTGGCACGCGGCTCTATGTGGACAACCCCCGGACACGAGCTTACTGTCAGACCCAGTCCATTCAGGAGCGTATCGTTTCTGATTAAGTTAATGAGTGATTGAAAGGTAACAAGTGGTTCTATAATAGATGCGAGCACCACGTCAGTTTATTGTTAGTACAATGCGTAGCTATTTTGCGAACACTGCACAGGAACAACAAATAGCGCAACGTCCAAATGCTGACATCTTCCGTACGAGTGGGAGTGTCAGAGCTTTTGATTGGCCCATAATTCAATCTGTCACTTGTTGATTGTTCATTTCAATAATTGGTCATGCAAAACATATGAAGCATGTTCCCGGGTCATACGAATCTGAATCTCACTGGCTAACAAGTAATGGTCTATTTTTGGTTTTCGTAACGGAATAATTGTATGTAGTACTATATATATATATATATATATATAGTAGAAACTGTTTTATTACAACTATTAATTATGTAACATAATAAATTCAAATTTTAGCAAATTAAAATATCAAGCCTCTATCAAGCGGGATACGTTCACTGATCGCTTCACGCCCCTGGAATAAAGCTCCACGATGTGGAAAGCAATGTTGGATAAAAGAAAGGCAAGAAAAAAACATCCACATTAAAAATGATGTGATATAAAATATCACAGAGCAGACAGGGATTATATGCATTATATTTTATTTTTATCATTAATTAATCCGTTGGTATTACATTGGCAGCAGCTGTAGGAATGTTACTCTCCGCTAGTCATCGCCATGGCAACCCCTCATATAATAATTACAACCAGCGCAAAGCGTCCCCTACGACCAAATATTAACCTGATGTGTGGGTTGGGGTTAGACCCCCCTCCACGTAACATAGGTGTATGGAAAGGACATGATGTAATTCATATTTCTTTCTAACCGGCAATAGTTGAGTACGGGACGAGGGGTCCAAATCGTCCATGATCCATTCTTTAGCATGTATAAATCTAAATTTCTAATTATAGTGGCCCTTATTACTATAATGCCCTTCTCTACGCACTAACTTCAAGATGGCACTCCGCTATACATAGGTAGTCACTGACATGTTCCACTGTTACAATGATCGCGCCATGTACTGTAACACTGAATCACGACGTGTAAAACAGTGAGCGGCATTATTTTGTCATTTTGCGATAAGCGAGTGAAGATGCGAACGAGCAATTAAACCCCGACCTGACCTATGTGTATAGGCGGCTCCTAATACCTGTCACTTAAAGTCATTGTATCATTAAAAAACAAAGCCATCGTCCTTATGTTAGTCCTTATAAGAGGTGTAATTTTCAAGTTAAAACAAGTAGAGTCTGGACATTCTTTGCAGAACACATACATCCTACCTATACCTATCATGTACTGCCCCGGGCCAAACCAGTTTTCACTCATTTGCACTTTATTCAAGAAACGACTCAATATCCTTGGAGATGCAATGCCAATGTTCATGCACAGGGTGTCGATTCACTGCTAGATATATTCGAGTTTACGTGAATATCATGATGCTTAACAATTGTGTCTTCTTGGTAATTAAGTCCGCTGGTCTGGAAATGTGCCCTCTACGACTGAAAACATGAAACATTGTCAATAACAACCGCTATAAGTGTCAAGCACACGGTGTGTCAATGGCGCCATGCGAATAGAAAATACGAACGATACTTACCATTCGAGCTTGTTTTCACTTACTTATAATAGATACCTTAAGTAAATATTTGATAAAAAGAATAAATTATGAATTTTGATTGGTTTCGACATTTCCCGCGCTATGGCATTATGTTTTAAAATAAATCATAAATTTTAAATTTAATTAAATAAGTTTTTGATAATAATAGCGACACCTCATTGTCTAGTATCGTCTAGTGTGTACACAATAGGTCATTTACCCAAGAAACTGTAGAAGACACGATCGTCAACCATCAATACTTCATTTGCATAATGGCCGCCATAGAACGGCATAAAATAGGTATGTGTTCCAAAGAGAGTACTACGTGGTAATGTAATCCCACCAAAAAGTTACCAAAGGGGTAAGAATTGCCTAGATCAATTTTAAAAAATGAATATGTATTTGAAATCGTTTGCAGTAAAAATGAAAGCCATATTCATAACGACAGACCTCACAACCACACAATATGACTTGAGTTTTACATTTAATTTTGAGAGAACTGTTGACGAATGGTGAAATTAAATGAAAATCTAAACTAACATATTTAGAGTAAAAACTAAACTTACTTATGTGTTGTTTCGTCTGATTTGGTTAGCTAACCACCGTCACATTCAGACCAGAAAGAAATTAACATACTTGTTATATAATCGGGATAGTATAATATTTATGACTCTAGACATGATGGGTTAACCAGGTAATATAAAATATTTAACGATGTCGGGTATTAAGCTAAAGAGAGCTGGCACACTTTCAGTTAAAGTCTTATATGAACGTGTTATGGGTAATTTCAGTATTTTTTTTCATTTCAAGTGTTGTAAACAGTGCTTATTAAATACAATGTCAAAAAATCACATCTAGTATGAGTACCTATTTGTTAACCTATGTGCTACAGCAACAGCTGACAAGGCGATCAATACATCACTATATAAAATGAAAACATCAAGAATAACCAGCCATTTTTATTGTTATTTTGGGGCCATATCATTACAGTTGTATTATTTGCACCACTGAGTTGAAGTCTTTAACATAATGCAGTAAATCGAACCATGAAACGAAATCGATAGTTATAGCGTTCGTAAGTTAAGAGTGTTAGAACGAGAAAAATGCGGTTTCGTATTCTGCTTCGGAACACGCTTAAAATAGAATTGACAGTTCACATTCACATACTAAAGTGTTAAGATGTATACTAATAAGGTTATCGTGAGAATACCACAAAATACTGGGATCTCATGAACCTCCGTTACGCGTCGGTCGATAAGATCTATATTGTGTTTCGTAATCTGTAGCATCGTTCCATCGTTTTGGTGACCGCAGTAGCTTCTGACCCGGATCTTACGAACACCCTAATTGTTGCATTCGGTATATTGCACGAATTGTTTCATATAACAAAAACAAAATACTAGTACATCTGATAATAGAACATCAAACATCATGATTTTTCGTCTCATTTTAATAATAACACAACTACCGCGTTATATACATAAATTATATTTGTTACGCAATCTTAAATTTATAATTTACAAGCAACTGTAAGTAACTATACTTTTATGGAACCTATGTGTGAGAAGAATTGTCGATTTGACAGTTGTCTGCAGCGTCGGAACTCTCAGCTACTAATAGAATATAGAAGGTCAATTAATAGACCTTGCTTCGTGAGTCAACTGCTTTTAGAATATTGTTTTCGACAACCTGAGTTATCATGCTGACATTGAATGGAAAAGAAATGGCATTTGAGAAATGAAACATCGTAAGTTGTCCAACAACACGAAAACTCTCCGATGTACCTAAAATTCACTTTTCTTACGCATCACACACCAAAATGACATTGAAAAACACGTTTCAACTCAAGTCATTATACAATAGACATGATTCGTTTACCAAGTTCGTATATTACGAAGCAATTGTAGTGAATGACAAGTTTTTTTTTGTTTTTCTCAGTGCATCATGTTTTACTCTAAATGCCAAGAAACACGCCCCTATGGGTCCTTGAAAACTGCAATTCAAAAATGATAGACGCGTTATTTTTTATAAATTATACTTTGTAAAGTGTGGTGGTAGTTGGTTTGAAACACCGCGCAACTACCCCCGAATCCCGGGCGATGGTTATCATGAAAAAATATATAGCAGAATATGTTAGTCATTTTAATTTTGTTTACGTGTGTTTCCATAGGAATACGAGTTAATTTGTGGTCAGAGTACTAGTATGTACAGCCTGCAATGTTTCGTTTATATGCGGGCAACGGTTTTGGCATCTTTGCCGCTGACACAATGCGATATGCCATAAACTGTTACACTTGGTGTTAACGTGTCTTTTCGTGACTCTGAAAAACAGAGTCATACCCCGACCCGGCTCATCGCGAAAACGGTGTCAACAAGTTCGTTCGTCGATTGCCGCGAACAATGGATGCGACAACGAGGAGCCCTGCTCGTGAAACGCACATAAAGATACAGTCGCGTGTCAGCGGGCTTTGAAACAATGGATTGTTAAACTAATTATCATGCGACAATGACCGCACCGCCCACAGTGCAAAACAACTTTTGGAGGACACCGGACATTAGTCACCTAGTCGCGAACCTATCTATTGTAAATGATTTTAAACGATTCCCCCTGGAGGGGAGGAGTCCCCTCTCTCCACTAGTACAGTAGTCCGAAGCTCACTTACCCGCGCGTGTCAGCCGGGATTTGAAACAATACAAGTGTAAACAACACTAACATATTAAGATAAGCGACATAGTGCTCCATAAAATTGACAATGCGTTCTTTAGGAACAGCTTGGGCCAGGGACAAACCGGCGTTTTATAGATAGTTTCCGGCATATTCATACCCTCCTGGTAAGAAGGTGTAACATCTTGCCGGGACGAATAATGCGGTTAAAAGATTAAGTTGTTTTGTGTTCTCTTTAATCTTATTTCAGGCAATTCAAAGAGACTGATAGCAAAACAATTATTTTCATTCATTTGCCGAATATGCATATATTTTCTTGTATATCCAGCGTTCAATTACTCAATATTAAAACATATAGTGACGTTATTTTCATTTTATTCATATATATATATATATATATATATATATATATATATATATATATATATATATATATATGAGAAATCCCGAAAATATAATATTTTCAGACATATAGGTACACATTGTAATTATTTTATAATTATTATTTACGCTGTTCAGTGCACATAGTTCGTTGGCGATATATACTGACATTATAAAGAACCATAATTCTATCAGCCATTCTAGTTTTAATCTTAGCGA